CAAGGGCGCTAGAACTGAAATTATGACCTATAAGATCCAAAAATTGCTTAATTTATCCAACATAAGATAGTCGATAATAAATTGTAAAGTTTTACTTATCTGAAATATACACTGAAATGTCCTCTTAGACACTAAAAAGCACTTGATTTTACGAAATTCATCCAAATGATCGTTACTCAAGCGGTTGTTGCTGAATTTATTACCGCTGTCCTTGTTGTACCAGCCACTGCTGTCTCGCCAGGAACGTTATTCATTAACCGGATTAAAATCACTTTGCCCTGGCTGAACACCAAAAGAGACAGGGGCAGGCAATAACTAGCGGCTCCTTTGACCACTCGTCTGACTCACTAATCGGATTAAGTTGACAGGACCTAGGGACACTGATGACAGATTAGTCCTGGCCGAGCGAGTCTTCGTTGGCCCGAATGTGACCTCGTCAGAGTTCGGGATTTGAACTAAAACGCTCTCGTCTTGAGGATGGTCAAAACTATCGCCATTTAAATGGACAAAGTGCCTGGCCGAAATCTAAGTTCAACTCCATTTGGAAGAAACCGAAATGAAAGCTAAATGTTAGTCGTAAAGCAAGTTTATGCGACTGACACTTTGAATATAATGGGCCGCTTAACAAAAATGTACTGTTTCTATTTCTCAATTCAACGTTTTTAAACACGAATTCAACACGGCACTCACATCTTAGTTTCATATGTAACAAAAATTATTGACGAGCGCTTCGCTCAACTTTTAAATGACTTTCGATTCGAAAACCGACGAGTTATAAAACATCGCGACGGTAGCGTATTTACTATTTCGGGCCAACGAAGACTCGCTCGGCCAGGACTAATCTGTCATCAGTGTCCCTAGGTCCTGTCAACTTAATCCGATTAGTGAGTCAGACGAGTGGTCAAAGGAGCCGCTAGTTATTGCCTGCCCCTGTCTCTTTTGGTGTTCAGCTAGGGCAAAGTGATTTTAATCCGGTTAATGAATAACGTTCCTGGCGAGACAGCAGTGGCTGGTACAACAAGGACAGCGGTAATAAATTCAGCAACAACCGCTTGAGTAACGATCATTTGGATGAATTTCGTAAAATCAAGTGCTGTTTAGTGTCTAAGAGGACATTTCAATGTATATTTCAGATAAGTAAAGGCTTTACAATTTATTATCGACTATCTTATGTTGGATAAATTAAGCAATTTTTGGATCTTATAGGTCATAATTTCAGTTCTAGCGCCCTTGGTTTGCACTCGAATTTTGCAGCGCATCAAAATACGGCTAAGAGAAAACTTTGCATAGCAGGCATTGCATAGTACCAGTTTTACAAATTGTTGACACAAAATATGATTTCAAGGTTCTTTCTTGGTAATTACCGGAGTAGATGCCTCAGGAAGCGATTCTCAATTGATTGTATTGAGCCTATTATGGTGCGAAGATTGCGTCGGGTATTTCGAGGGTAACCAGACCCATTGACGCGGCTTCGTATTTTTTGTTGAACTAAGCTTTATGTATTGAATTCCTGGCGCTAAAATATATCGTCAACTTTGCACGACACATGTGTTCATTGTTAGTTTGAACTAAACAGGTATACATTGTAAAATTCGTATTTAGCGAAGTAAACGGCTATGCTGGTATACATTTTTTCAGCTCTGTGAATACGGCCTCGTTCCTGGTTCAAGTCAGTGACATTTCCTCAAATTTCAAGTAATGGCGGATCGAAAATACCCTAAAACTATGAAGTAGAGTGGTTTTCATAAACCCGTGAAACAAAGTATAATAATTAGAGTGTAATAGATCGTAATAGTCGCGTAGAGATAATAAAAAACAAAAGAGCCAAATTGTAATAGCGATACATACGCTATATGTGTTTCAAAACCACTCTAATATGTCAAATTAATTTAAAGATGTTTTCTTCATCCAAATGCAAAACGGCTTGACTGAGTTATTATTCATGGTGTCTACTAGCGTAAAGAGTGGTAACTACAAAATGGACGGATTTTGTCGTAGTCGCACTTTAAGAAGGTGTTCTGATCATTCACTTACTTTTACACTGGGGGTTTTCAATGATAATAGTTCCATTCCAATTTGTCCAGTTTCCTGTTTTAGGATCACATAGCAGTTGATGATTTTCACGGAGCCAGTAACCGCGACTGCACTTGAAAGTTAAAGTGCTATTGCCCAGGAAATCACCTACCATGTATCCGTTCGCAGGAGAAACCATCTCAGGACAAAGACGGAGACCTGCGAATGAAAAATAAATCCATATAGAAAAAAGTGGATATTTAAATGTGACTTGAGTGAGCAGTCTTCAAGGATAGCTCAGCACGCAAACCAAGTTATGTCTTTGATTTTGAGAAAGCGATAGTAGTGGATTAATTCAACAACCGCGCGCGCTAAAAATTGGAATATTAGATTGGTGCGCGCGTGTCAATAACAACAAATTTTGTTAACATTTTAGCACTGATGAAGGTTTGAGATAGAAGACCAATACATATCTGATTAAAATTATTATGTATCTGAGGCAGAGAAAAAAAACATAAGCTGAATAACCATGAAAATGATACGTTTGATGAAAATAATGAGCAACGGAAGATGGCCTTATGAAAGCCGAAAAATAATTAACAAATCGAAATCGCTTTTCTATGGTCTGTACACTTATCGAAAATTCAAATGACTCCATAACTTTGTTTTCGGCTTTGTTATGGTAAAAAACAAATCGAAATCGCTTTTCTATGGTCTGTACGCTTATTGAGAATGAAAATGACGCCAGAAAATGATCAAAACTCAAGTGGAACCACGAGAAACAACGGCTCTCGACCAATCAGCGCGCGAGAATTCTACAAGTTATGGTAAAATTCGTGTCTACTATAATTTATAGAATATGATAATACTTATGCAGGATTATGAATAACGGCGAAAACAATACTCTCAGAAGCTAAAGGGGAAGACAAAGAAAAAAAAATTAGTTAAATCGTATAAACGAATACAAAACCTACATGATGGAATGGAGTTGCTCCACGCACCATTTTCCAGACAAAGTCGGTTGGATGGTCCCACCAAGTAATAACCGGGATCACAAGTATAAACTACCATATTTCCAGCCCAAAACACATTACCAGTGCGATGGCCATTTAAGGGTCTTCCAGGATCACCACAGCTCTTTAAGGCTAGAAGAAGAGAACTCATATATTTTATGATACATTTTGCGTCCATTATGGATGTTGTGTTGTATGGTGATGCTTGGAGTGTTAAATTACCTACTCAATGGTGTAACATTAGATAGGAACCCTAGGGAATGCTTTCATTTTTTGAATGAATTGGATGCAGTATTAAGTGATAGCATTTTTGATTAGTGGGTCAATGGATATAGTAGTATTGTTAAATTAGGGCTGCATAATGATAGGTTTCCTTATTCTCGGACTTACAGACTTGTATTGTAGTTTCGGCCGTTCCATTCTCGTAGTTTCTGAAAAAGCATTTGTATCGTCCTTGGTCTTGAGGCATGAACGGATCAATGACCAAATTGCCTATAGTTTCTTTATTGGTTTGGTGAACTGTAGTGTTTACAGATAAAGGTTGGCCATCTTTGCTCCACTCGATCGTTGGCAGCGGTGATCCAGTAGCCGAACAGTTCAATTTGACGCGGCTCATGATTTTATTTACGGTGACGTTATTAGGCGATGATTGCACAATGACAGGAGCAACTGGAAATATAAAAATTGGTATCAAAAACATCAGGAAAAGGACTAATTCACTGAGAATATAAATTTAATATGTGTTTTTAGAAATACACATTTAGCACAAGACATTTAATTGCTACTTACTGACAGAATAAACATTGAGCACTACTATAGCAAGTTCATTTCCTTGGTCATTGATTCCTTTGCACATGTAGGGTCCCTTATCCTCTCTCTTTGTATTCATGATGGTAAGGCGGTTACCAGTTTTTACATGGCGTCCTTTAGGCATGACATTCTGTGGGCGTGTCCACTCGATCCGCGGAGGAGGAAACCCAAATATATTGCATGTGATGGTTGTATTCCAGTCTTCGTAACCTGCTACGTAAACTGGAGGCTGGACCACGAATCGTGGAGCAACTATTTGAAAAGCAACGATATGTTAATAAGTTTTCTGAAATTTTCTCATACTAATTAATCATTCATGATGTATCCAGCCAATCCCTCATTGTTCTTTCAGTGTACCACATGCAGTAACTGGAAATTAGGAGAAGTACCCCTAGCTTGTATTCTACCTGTTTCCAGTTACTTTCACCTTGTTTCCAACTACTGCTAACAAATGTTTAGAAATAATGATTTGATATAGAAATAATTTAGTGAAAAAAGGTCTTTGATACATGACTGCCTCACGAAACGATCCCGAACCGTCCAGTCTATATGCGCCGTCTTCACATACACTTACACCACCGAGTTTCTGATAACATTCCTCGGAAGATAACAAAGACAAAGACAATTTGATTAGCTTTTGTTTCAGAAAGCCGTTCGGGAATTAAGTACAATAATCATGTATTCAAAGCTATGAAAACTGAAAACTGAAACTTCTTCTTTTAGATGCATTTCCTTAGCTGGAACTAATAGCGCGGACTTGAAATCCCGTCCAGTCCTCATTGTCGGACTTTAAACGTTACTTAAAGGACGCTCACAAGCCCCTGATGTTTGAAAGAAAGATCAGAAATGTAAAGACTTTTTGAAAACATCACTTCACCTTAGATTAATGAATTTTATACTTCTCAGAGCTGAACTTGAACTCATTTGAATGAGCAAACACTATTTCTTTGAAATACGTAGACACATCCCTCTAAAGACCCAATTGAGACTATAGTGTAGTGTTTTTCTCTGACTGACATTACCGTTTACAACAAGTTTCATTTTTGCCGTTGCTTGACCAATGAAATTCTTTGCTTTCAATAAGTAAACCCCATGATCTTTGAACTTTACATTGCTTATTCGTAGAGCACCAGTGGCATAGAATCGCTCGTCTACTTTCTTGTTGTCTTTGTACCACGACATTTTAGGAAGTGGAAAACCAGAGGCTTTGGACGGAATGACCACATTATCGCCTTCTTTGGTGACAAGAACAGATGGAGGTCTTTTGGTTATTTTTGGAAGAGCTTTCGAAAAAGATTAAAATGTACATGAGCTTGTACATGTTTTACATGTATTTACTATTGAATAGTTCGTGTTGATTTAGATTTCGTTCTTGTCAAATACCCACCAAGGGAATAGATAATCGATGAAGCTTTTCCAGAGGGCGTTCTTCCTGGCACTCCCCTCGGTCCCTGCGGACCTGGTAATCCAGGCGGACCTTGGATTCCAGGAGATCCACGAAACCCTCGTCTACCACGTCTTCCTCTATGTCCGCTGGGACCCTTCGGGCCTTGTGGACCCGGTGCTCCGGGTGGACCTTACATTATCAAATAGAAATTTTTCTCTCCACAAATAAAATMYGTGAACAGTTTTTTTAAAGAAAAAATCATACCTCGGACACAAACTTGTTTACTTGTTCCTTTTGACGATTTTAACTATGAGATAAATAGAAGTTTTATTAATGCACCCTGCCTTTTATTTATTCATTCAAAGAGGTCACAAATTTGGCAAGTCTGTCATTTCATATGCACGACATATTAGATTTTATTAGAAAGTTCTAGAAAATGTCATAACTATATTTTCATATCACTTTTCAATTTGGTTATTTCAGAGAGGCGGACAAATGTTTGTTTCCTTCACCCTGTTCAGAATCAGTACATTAAGACTCGATAGAATATTTTGTTCTGGTAGATGACGTATTGTTTTACACATACAAAAACGAAATCGATCGTTTGAATTGTATCCAAAAATACCGCGAAATCCCTTGTCTATTTATTAAAAGTCATATTAGACAGCATACGTATACCTTCTTGGATGATCCAGACGAGAAGATTTGCGTACAGATATCTCTGCATTTGGTACAAGCACTCGTTGGATCTCTCGAGCCATTGTTCGCTGCTCTTGGCAACCGATTGTTATGTACATCAGCGTCTGACTCTGTTTTCTTGATTTGCTCGCATCGAACGATTCGTTCATCCAAAGTATGCACTCTGTAAGTCAAATACCCCACAGACAGTATTGTCAGGGCTAAATTCAGCAATACACCAAGCTGAAGTATACAATTCGTTTTAGATTTTCCACTGCCCTCCATGACTTTATGAATATGCCAAAACGTGCATATCTT